AATTAATAGCTGCGGCTAAATTTATTACAGTTACATAGCTTGGAGATTAAAACAAATGACTTAAGTCTTGTTATTTATGGATATGATTCAAATTTCCAAGGGGTAGGGGGACCCAAGTAAAAAAGTCATGGAAATTCAGAGGATGGGGGTAATACAGTGAAGCCCCCCTGGAACAGAAAATCCTGGGGGGTGGGGGTCAAACTGGAAATGAACTCTCCATGGGGGGTATGGATATTTTCTAAAACCACACATTAAGTGTGCGAAATGTTTTACTATATATGGTTTAATTCAAAAGGGAAATCAAAGAGAATCAATTCATCTAAGCTCCACATTATTAATTAACATTATTTTTGCACATTGAATTGATTTAATTATCCTTATTAATAAAATAATTTCAGGCTAGCTCCTCAGAGATTTGGGCTAGTAAGATGAAATTACAGCTTGCCCAAATTTCATCTCATCCTGAACTGGGGAATATCCAATTTTCACAACTGCACATGTTACAAAAAAGATTTGAAGGATAATAAACACTATAGCCTCCATTTGGTGCAAAAATATCCTCACACATTATCTATCCCAAGAAGTGAACAGTTTTCCTCGAGCTACGCACATTCTCACAAAGCTGTTCAATTCTCGGAACAGATATATATGTCTGCGGACAATTATCCCAGCATATTATTGAGAGATTGTCGTTTATGAGTAACATGAAATTCTCAGAAATTGGTAAAATTGATAGAAATATTGAACTGAAATGACGGAAATCAATAATCATAAGGAAGTGGGTGATATTTTTTAATTGATTAGTATCGATTATCATTGATATTGATTTGAAAATTTATTAATTCCTTGCGTGTTAAAGTTGTATCACAACTAAACAATGCCAAATCTTCTCTGTTTGTTAGTAAATTAATTACAACTCGTGCTAGGTCTGCAAACTTATTTCTATCTAACGACTTGTCCATAGAAGTACGGCTTCCGTGTTCCGTCGCGCGCTTTCCGATTATGTGATGTTTTTTTTATTATTAAATAAATCTTCATTTGTTACCTCTATCGTTAGGTAATCAAGCTCACGTAAAACTTCATACAGTCTCTCAAGTGGTACATCTGATGTGATAGTGAGAAGATCATAACTTGCCCCGTATAATACCGGGTTGTAATGTGACTTATACCGTAAATTCCCTTACCTGAATAGCAGGCAATCTATACAAACATTTAGGTCCAGCATTCAAGCCTGTCTTTATACACAATAGTGGATTGCCTACTTTGTAAGCCGCCTGTATTTGAAGAAACCCACAACATGTCCGAAACATCGGCGCCATTTTGCTTCCGCCATTGATTTCAGTGAACATTGGCCTCGTGATCCCGTGACAGGTAAAACACGTCACGGTTGCGTTCGTGATGCGCTATATGCGTGATGGGTCCCGTGACGCATCTGCGTATACGTGACATTTCAACCAGTGGCTTTGGTGATGATCGTGAATGCGTTAGTTTTTCCCGTGAAATGTGAAATGACTGTTTTTTATTCCTTGTGAATCGTAATTCCTCTAATAATCGGTCCTCGATTTTCACAAATTAATTTTCCCTTCACCATGCACCACGATCGCGTCAAAATTAATCTCGTTCCCAGATCTCTTGTGGACGAAGCCGGAGGAACGAGATTACGTCAAAATCTGTGAAAATTTTATTTCAGAAAGACCATGGGATCGAGGTTGCGTTGCGTGCGGTAGGTAGGTATTCTTTGATTGCCAAATGCCGTGTGCCTTGCGTCCGTTTGAACAGTAACTGAGATGAGTTCGTCGAGAAAAGTAACTGTTAAAATGTGGTAGGACCCGGGGATAGGACATGGAGTTTGTCACTCCTTAAGTGTCACTGCATTTCGGAGTGTTCTCCACCCTACCGCAGCTAGTTCCATCCAGGAAAACACTGAGTTCTAGTGTAGTCTCAGTAATGGCCAACCTCGTTCCCAGGGTCTCTCATCTCTCTTCGCTCGCTCCAGGGGGCGGTAAGATGAGAGACCCTGGGAACGAGGTTGAGTAATGGCGTCTTCGATGTGATTCGTAGTCGACTCGTTGTCGCTGGTCTATCGCTGGTTTATAAAGGTAAGAGAGTCTACAAAAATGCTTTTTACATGTCAAGCCAATGTAAATAATACTGGGTCACCTCTTTTCATCTCACAGAATGGAAGAAAATAGTGTGAACCAATGTTTTTTGTATTTTGTCAAAGACAGTAATATGTGTTCTGAACTATTGGTGGGTGGCTTATTTGGATATTTTGGGGAATTTGGAGACGAAATTGACTTTGTTGTTGTTACTGAACGTTCAACAAAGCAAAGTGACTTTATGGTGAATTAATCAGCTATAATCATTTTACTTTGATCATATATTCACCTAAACCTTATCAGACGTTGTGGACATTTTGCACTGGTGGAACAACTTCAGCTGTGGGCCCCTGACAGTTTTCAACCAACCACATCATGATTTTGAAACAAAGAATTGACGTTTTTGTGTGATCTCACCTAACATTTTCTAGTAGCATGAGCTGGAACAGTCAATTTTGACAGGGCTTATGATAGGTCGCAGAAAAAAGGCAAATTTCGTGGAAATTTTGTGGGAATTTTCAGGGCAAATCTCGTGGGAAAATGATCAGTAAAAAACGACCAATTTTGTGGGAATTTCCTGGGCAAATTTTGCTGGAAAGCAATCGGTTTTGCACTGAAAATTTCGGCCGAGGTTCTTTTCTTCTTTTTCTTTAACTCCCTGGAATCGCTTTACTTTGACTTTACTAGTAACACGACTTAAACCTCTACAGCAACATGTAGAAAAAAAGTTACATAAACAAAGTCTGGGAAGGTGTTTTGAAAAATTGTGAATAATCTGAAGCAACATGAAAATTTGAAATTCGAACCCAGTCAAGCATTTTTGTGTCACTTTGACACAACAGTAACAATGTTGACAATGTTTATACTCTTATCATGTATAAAATTTAAATGCAAACTACATTCTGTTATCTTTTTGTTGAAGAAAGTACAACTGCAAAACTGACTGTTAGCATTTCCATTTGGATTTATTTCCACACAGTGATAGCCATCCAAAGTTGATGGCATTAGTACATTGACCAAAAAGCATCCCGCATGAAAGCCTTTAGTCGTCTTGTTATAATACATTCATTCAATTGTGTTCTGAATTATTTCATCACGAGGCCAAAAAAATATTTTTGTTGCTGAGTTAATTCTGAGTTGTTCTGTTGTTGTTGTCTGAATAATATTCGCCACTGGGTTAGAATTCATTTTTGCCAGTGGCTTTGTAGTTCAAGGTTATGCACACTGTGTTCAATTCACTATTATAGTCACTAGGCTGCACAGAGTTGTTAATACTCCTATACCGCGTTGCACTGGCAGGTTTATTCAAAACTATTTTGTCACCACACTTAAAATGTCAATGTTATTTGGTTCCTGGGTTCAAAAACTTAGGCTAAAGATAAGCTAAAATATATTAGCGGAGTTTCTGTGTGCCATAGGTGCACAAGGGGAGCCCCATACCTTAGAAAATTTGGTAACCCATTGATCTCAAAAAATTTGGTTGTCACATGACTGTCTGTACGAACGCCAAGCCCCATACATGTACCTCGAAAAATAAAAGTAGCACCATAACCATAGGTACATCTTTAAAATTGAACATCCGTGTTATGATTATAATTGACAGCGGTCAAAACAAGGTACCTGCTGACCAGTATCATGTGACCATATTGCTGGCTCAGGTTAAGAATTCATTGAGGTTGCATGTTTTTTTGAAGTTGACCACTGACCAGGTGCTGGTTAAACGATTGGGTTGTGGGCTCAAGCCAGGTTATTTCTTTGGGGGAGAAAGAGGGAGTACATGCAAAGCCAAATGTTCTGGCAAATTAGCCCCTGATGCACTGTTGATTTTTCTTCCAACACATTCCTTGCACAATTGTCTCTTGGAAAGTCCCTGATATATTGTGTAGTAATTCTGCAATCTTGGGTACACTTATTGGGTATGGTTTATTAAAATTTAACTGGAAAAATAACAAAACCACATGCTGATCAATACCATGCTCACAATTGATAATTTTTTGAGCTTCTGATCCTCAAAACACAAATCCTCTTTTTCCTTATGGTTAATTATTGCAATCAGGAGCTCTGCTTTTAGGCTTGGCTAAATCTATTTATTAACTACATGTACAAGATGATATAACTGTACCCATTTCAAAGAAAGTTAAAAAGTCAAGTCTGCATTCAATCCTAGTTACCCAGCACATGAGAACTTGAAAATTTGAAAATGATGAATGAGAAAATGATGAGCAAGTCATCAAAACGTCATTCCAAGTTATTATCGCTGATTTTTGTTCTTAATAAATAAGTACCAGACAAGTATATTTCTGAGTTTCCCAGTAGAGTTTAACTTATGACCTCTTTGCACAGACCAGATGCTCAAACTGCTGAGATTCAGTGGGTTCATGGCCATCCTGGCTATTTACTCTCTTCATTTAATTGTTAAAACTATTTGTTGTAATTAAATTCTCTCTTTTCTTAACCTTACTATACTAAGGTAAAAAGAATGTGTGAGAACGAGTAGACTTGTTGGGTTCGCAAGTTTATTGTTTGCCAAGCATTTGCATGTATGTCATGGTTTACAATTAGATCCTTTAATATCTTATACATAAGATAAGATAAGATAAGAACTTTGTTAGCGTGTTAAAGTCGCTAGCATACAATGTATACTAATTGGGGACACCTAACTACGATTACTCATCTAATAATTAATAAAAATGAAATAAATGTACGTATGTAAGTGTTTTAAAATATACATAATTATATAAAACAATCAATGAGTCATGCATTAAGATCAAGTGTTAGTTGTTACATAAAGAACAGCCTCTACAAGTACTGTCCCAACATGACTGGGGTTTTAAGTGTGTTACGATGCCGCTACATCTCAATTAAACCTCTAATATTAAGAACCAATTGTATCTAGGTTTTAACGTAAAATATAATTCGTTTATTTTTGCAGACAAATGCAAGCATTGTGGCCAGGTCTTTAACCACATATCAGCTTACAAATAGTGTGAACATTAACTCACACAGGAATGGCGGCATATACGTGCAAGTATTGCAAAAAGTGCTTTAGCAACTTATCAAACTTCAACAAACATGAAGGAACTCACACAGGAGTGAAGCCATATATATGTAAGCATTGTAATATGTGCTTTAGCGACTTACCAAAATGCAAGCAACACGAAGGAACTCACACAGGAGGGAAACCCTGTACTTGCAAGCATTGTAAAACATGCTTTAGCCACTCATCAGATTACGAGAAACATGAACAAAGTCCCACAGGAGTGGACCCATTTACACGCAACCATTGTAGAAAGTGCTTTAACTACTCATCAAGTTGGAAGCGACATGAGCAAACTCATACAAGAGTGAAGCCGTATGCATGCAAGCATTGTAAAAAGTGTTTTAGCGACTTATCAAATTGCAAGAGACATGAACGAACTCATACAGAAGTTAAGCCATATGCATGCAAGCATTGCAATAAGTGCTTTAGCGACTTATCACACTGTAAGCGACATGAACGAATTCACACAGGAGTGAAGCCGTATGCATGCAAGTATTGTAAAAAGTGTTTTAGCGACTTATCAAATTGCAAGAGACATGAACGAACTCATACAGGAGAGAAGCCATATACATGTGAGCAATGTAAAAAGTGCTTTAGCTGCTCATCAGATTGCAAGAGACATGAACGAACTCATAAAAGAGTGAAGCCTTATGCATGTAAGCATTGCAAAAGGTGCTTCAGTTACGTATCAACTTGCAAGCGACATGAACGAACTCACACAGAATTTAGGCCGTATACATGCAAGCATTGTAAAAAGTGCTTTAGTCAGTCTTCGCATTGCAAACAACATGAACGAACTCACGAAGAGTTTAGCCTTGCAAGCATTGTAAAAAGCGTTTTTCAGTCCTTGAAGGGATTTGATTAAGCTTTCTCAAATTATTTTACTTAAATTGCCAGGAATAAAGTATCAACTGGAATCTGGTTACAGGTTACCGGTTACCGATTCTAGAATTTGCAACTTTCATATATCCACTTGGAACAATATGTACTTATTGACTGAGTGGGAGGGCTAGACGGGAAACAATTTTAGATCCATAGGTGCAACCTTCGACGTACAAGAATGATTTATTTAAGAACATGTATGGGCACACTATTTAGGTAATGTATGAGCATGCTGCATTTAGTTGCCAATTTCTTGGTCAATATTGATCCTTACCGTACCCAGATTCAAATTAGTCCGTTGTGTTTCTTGGAGACAAGTCTCTCGAGCATGTAAAAATATATGTTTTCCTTCCGAACCACATGTTTGTGTTAAAATAACTATTCTGCAAGTCTAACAAACCTTAACCCTTCAAAAGGCATTTGAAACCGCCACACAGATCAAGGAAGAGCTAACAAGAACGGAATTCGATGGTGTATTTTGCAAAAACTTCAAACTTCTAATCGATAGATTTTCTTCATTTTTTCGCTGAACGTAGAAAAGCGGCAGAGAAAATGATCCATCAAAAGAAAGATAGGGGTCACTGAACGTCCGAGATCGTTAAATCCAGGCAAAGCTGTAGCAATGGCCATCTGCCCTCCTACCATTGTTTATCATTGCGCGCTCACGCATGATGTGGAGTGTGAATTTGCGTGCGCAGTAAGGATGTGCAGAAACAATTAGCGCGAACGTCCTCATTCTCGTCCTCAGAGGCCGTGCTCCTTTTGGTCAGGACCAAGAATCGCGACCTCTGGGAAAGTCCAACACGGGAAGTCTGCGATTCACGGACTTCCCGTCACTCTGCGCGCGCTCAGAGTCAAGTCTGACAAATCTGATTGACTGAGAATACGAAACGATTACTCTGTGCATGCTCAGAAAATAGGATGCCTCTATTCTAATAACTAAATTGTGTCATATTCTATTTGAATCCTTTGTTATCAGTAAGCATAAAAGATGGGCACATTACTCCTGTCGAAGTGAGAATCAACCCGGAGCAACGAAGGGTCTTAGTGGTATTTGGGCCCAACGGCGCCAGAACGAGGTGTAACCAGGAAAGAAAGAAAGCAAAGTTTTTGGCGACGTGGGGCTAAATACCTACGGACTAGATTGGAGCTCATGGGCCGGTCGCGATTTGCCTTTTCTCCTTCTCTCGATCAAACTTGGAAAAAGACGCTTTACTGATCGATATCAAACATATCTAACTTCTAAGGAACCAATACGACAGTGAGACATTTTTCTAGGGTGTTGCGAATGTATTTGGGTTATCAAATACATCGAATTCCAGTAGAATATGAATAGTCAAATGACTTTGAATAGTCTAGGTTAGGAAGACGAGGGATGAAGCAGGCTAGCGTTTTTTAGAAAGTGCTGATTTAAAATTCTTTGTTTTTGAATAAATTGTCCAACCCTAGGGAGCCCTTTCCGAGGAAATTCCCCGTGGTGGACACCGACAATCTGTCAAATGCCCGTCCAATGCCCGGGGGGATAGGCAGTCTTGGAATTGACAAAGGCATTACAGCGGTTCGAGTAACTGTTCAGAGCCCTCTATTTTCTCGTATTTCTATTCGATCGTTGAACGCGAGGATAGAGTCGCAGGAGAACTGGATGGCAGTGCAAAACGGAAAACTTGGCCGGGTAGGAGGTGGGTACCGAGATAAATATTCTTCTTGCTCTCTTTGTTTGAAAACCCCTACCTCACCCCCGCGTGCTTCGCGCTCTCTTCGCTTGCTTTTTCTTTCGCGTGCGTAAATAGAGGCTGAACAGTCGAGCTTCCCCTATGTAAAGGATGTACAGTAGTTGTAAATTCGTTTTCTGACATTTAACCCACTGGAAACTAACTCGTGCCCTACTCTCGGGGAAAGGGACTCCCATATAAAACGGACGTGGGTGCCCGTCAGAAATTTCAAAAAGAACTCCTACGAGGTAACAAG